TGTCAGAGTTGGATTTCTGCCTGGAAAAGTCATGGCATTAAGTGCAACTAGGGTGTGTTTTACACTGTGCAGTCAGCTGAGAGCACAGTTAATTTTAGTTTTAGAGTAAGTCACCAAAAAAGGCACCTGTAACCTCAGTTCCCCTCTGCCCTCAGCTCTGGGACAAAGCCTAGCATGGCTGGCCTAAGGATTTAGTCCAGAATGCATCCAAATGGACCTGAAAGAAGTAAAAATGCGAGGAATTAAAACGTATAAATCAACTTTGCAGCCTCTTGCTTAATGCAAATTAAACAGTCTATAACACAGACACAAAACATCTGCTAAACAGAGTAAAAATTAATGAAGAAGAAAATTAAGATTGCTCTGTTGTTGCTTTTTATCAATTTGTGCTCAGATCTGAGCGAGGTTTAATAAGAATGCTGCCAGTTTGCAAAGTGATTCTGAATTGCTTAACTCCTATTTATATTTTCCTTGCACATATTCTGGAGTTCTTCATAAAAATGGGAAGTTTGTGGTGCATTAACCCACCAGCAAGCACTTCCCAAACATTTTCAAATACATCTCCACTCTGTAGTGATGCAAAGTTAAGCTGCAGCTTAACCGAAAGAACAGTTTAGGGAGCAGCTCTGGCAGTTGGAATCATCTGCTGCTTTATCTGCTGGGTGGTTTGGGTGTTATTATTTCAGCCATGCCCCGATTCTCAGTGAGTTCCCCTCTGGAAAACGAGGGGGGGAAATGTGTTTTGGGTAATCCTGCAGAGGGTCTGACAGGGAGAGAGCTCAGAGCAACCAGCGAGAGTTGCCAAGAGAGCGTCGTGGTCTCGAGAGGTGGAGTCTTCATCCAAATTTTGGGGGCTGTGCTTGCACCAAGATCCAAGCACGGAGTTCAGTGGGAACAGAGCTCCAGCTTTCCATTCCTGTTTCGTTGTCACTGTCAGTGCTGCAGTTTATTTTATGTACTTGGATCACCAGGGAACTGCACAGCTACTGAGATGGTTTTACTTATCACCTGCAACAGCCACTTTTTTTCTTGCAATTCTAGAATTATATTAAGGTTTCTGGAAGTTGATGAACTCCAGAATCTTCCTCTGAACTACACCCCTGGTGACATTTTTCCATGAAATGAGTATTGGCATCTTAGTGTGTGTCACTGGACAGTTTGGAGATGCAAGACGGGCAAAATTCCCGTGATGAGAATTTTCCTCGTGGGGTGTAAGCGGGACGAGGCAGAATTTCCCTGCAGTGACTTGGATTTGCTGCAGCATAAAATTCCAGAGATCATCCAAGGAAGTGTTGCTTGTATCACTTGAGATCAGAAAGAAAGGGGCAGAAAAAACTCAACTTTACTTACCTGTTGTCAAAACTAATGGAAAAAACCAGTTTCTGATGTATCCCAAATACCCAAAATCTGTTTCTTTAAAACACCTGAAAAGCCCAGGATATTTCACTGCATTGCAGTTTTACCCCTGACAAGCAAAACTCTGGTTTTGTGGTTATTATTGGGGCTGATTTTTCTATTCTGATTTTATATCTTAACAGGAGAAAGAGGAGGTGGCTCTGGAGCCTTCAGGGAATGATTTGCCTGAATGCTTTGCAGGACTAACCTGCAATAAACTCCATTTATGTCTGATTTGTGCCAATAACAGGGTTTGAATCTGAAAAGCAGGAGAAGACTTCCCAGCTGAACACCCCAAACAGTAACAGAAGGTACCAGGGAATATTATGGAACAGAAATTGTACAGATTTTGGTGGTGTTTTAACAAGGAAATTTCCATCAAACTAAATACTTTCTGTAGTGAAATTGCCCAGTAAAGCTGATCACCCACCAGTGTTGCATCCTCACTGTTCATCCCCAGGGTGAAATAATAACAAATTCAGAATAAATTCACTTTGCAACTAGAGGAAATGAAATAGATTTGTTATTGTTATTATTATTTAGGTTATCCTCATAAATATATTTACAAAATGAGACTCCTTACAATGAAAACCATTGGATTTTTTTTTTTTTTAATATAATCAAGCAATGACAGTGTTAACAGTGGTGGTATTGTGCAAATAGTGAGAGCTTTCTCCAGTATCTCATTCTTTATTCTAATTCTGGGTACCACAAAAATTGCCTATGAAGGAAAAATTATGATTTTTCCTCTTGGACCCCAGATTTTCAATTTTATTCCATATCAGGCAACACACCCTATTTCTATGTATAATACAACTAAACAGACAATGAATATATGTTTATTTATAAGAGATTGTTTGGTTCTGGAGCCAAAATCAGCAAACAAATGATGCCTCCATCACTTCACGCTCCGTGCGAGCAGGAGGAGGAGCTGTTGAGCAAGAAATGCTTTCTCCACTTTTTCATTATCACCTCGTGGGTAATTATTCAGTTTATTCCTGGAGCTGACTCAGAGATCGCTTTTCCTTCCTTTCACAAATGAACAAAAGTCTGAGCTCGCCCCCCCCAGCAAACCCCAAATTAAACAGCAACTGATATCCCGAATATTGAGGACGTTTTCAGTGTTGATTTCCAGTGTTCAGAAGGATGTCTTTGCATCCTGAAGTTCTGTTTCTTGGCTGGGAAGAGCTGATGGAGGAACCAGTGCAAGATTCAGCCCCGGAGAGAATCGCTGGGCAGTGTATGGATACGAGGCCTTGGCAACTGAAATAATGAGGAGGAGATGCTGCTGGTGGCTGGAAGAGTGATTTGTGTGCTCTCTGGCCTGAAACCACTTCATTTCACTTCACAATTCCATCATCTGAATTCAAATTGCCACCAGCGAACCACGACTTGCACAGGAGTCACTGTTCCCTGACAGTACATACACCTTTATATTGCATTAAAATGAGGATTAAATAAATAATTAGCAGGTGGCAGTGATCAGTATTCTCCCTATTTCATATTTATTTTCTCTTTCCTAAAACATAAAATCAAATAGAATTAAAAGAAGCCACAATAGAGATAGATAGTGTTATTAGAATCATTAGCTACGTGGTTTTTAACATGAAAAATATCACTTCATTGGTGCTACTTGTTTATCTCATTTAGCCTTATGTTTCTTGGAAGTTTTATGAGTACACAAAACTGGGTGCTGTCCCTGGTCCCCCCTGAGCAGAGCTCAGTCCTGCCCCTCCTCTGGCCCTGCCCAGGATGTTGTGACTGCTGTGAGGTCTCCCCTCAGTCTCCTCTTCTCCAGCTGAACACACCAAGTGCCCTCAGTGTCCTCACACGCCTTCAAATCCAGGCCCTTCCCCATCCTCGTGGCCTCCTTTGGACACTCTCCAATGGCTCAATCTCTCCCTTCCATTGTGTCCCCCCAAACTGCCCCAATGTTGAGGTGAGGCCGCCCCAGGGCAGAGCAGAGCGGGACAATCCCCTCCCTGATGTCCCAGGACAGGCTTGGCCCTCCTGGCTGCCAGGGCACTGCTGACTCAGGGACAACTGGCACCCACCAGCACTCCCAGAGCCCTTTCCCAGCTCTGCTTTCCAGATTCTCATTCCCAGTCTGTCCATACATCCAGCGTTGCCCCATCCCAGGGGCAGAATCTGCCACTTCCTCTCGTTGAACTTCCCATGGTTGGTGATTCCCAGCCCTCGGATCTGTCCAGGTCTCTCTGTCAGGGTCTTCCTGCCTTCCAGGGACTCAGCAGCCTCTCCCAGCTTCGTGTTATCTGCAAACTTAGTACATCCTCTGGAAAAATCATCGAATGGTTCGGAAAGGGAATTTAAAGGTTATCCAGTGCCACGCCCTGCCATGGGCGGGCACACCTTCCACTAGCCCAGGTTGCTCCAAGCCCTGTCCAACCTGGCCTTGGACACTGCCAGGGATGGGGAAGCCTTAGAGCAGAGCTCAATGCAGTTTAAAGAATGAGCATGAGACAGAAAACAAACACATACTAACAACAAACAAATATTTTTATAACGCTCTTCAAACATATTGTAAGATTTTAGGTTTCTTGTCAACTTTACACATTAACTGCTCACTCTTCTAGCAACAACTGACTGTGCTTATCATGGAATCCCAGAATGGTTTGGGTGGGAAGGGAATTTAAAGCCCATCCAGTTCCACTCCCTGCCATGAGCAGGGACACCTTCCACCAGCCCAGGCTGCTCTAACCTGGCCTTGGACACTTCCAGGGCTGGGGCAGCCACAGCTTCTCTGGGCACCCTGTGCCAGGGCCTCCCCAGCCGCTGAGGAAACACTTCCTTCCCCTTCCTTCCCCTGGCCCTTCCCTTCCTCCCATCTCCTTTGGTGAGCTGCCATCGATCCCGGAGCTCCACGAGGGTTCGGGACTACGAGTCCCAGCGTCCCCCGCGCCCCGCCCGCCCCTCCCCTCCCCGGCGCGGCGCCGCGGGGGCCGCCGGGACTCGTAGTGTCGGGGCGGGGCCCGGGCTCGGCGGGGGCGGCGGCGGCGATCGCTCCGCCCGCGGGCAGGAGGCAGGGCCGGCGGCGGGCGCGGGGCACACGGGACACCCGGGACACCCGGGACACCCGGGCGCACGGGGCGCAGGTACCGCGGCCGGCCCTGCCACGCACCCCCGGGCCGAGCTGCGAGCGCTGCGGGGCCGGGCGGCGGAGCTCGGAGGGGCCGCGGCGGCCGCGGCGAGGGCTCCGCTCAGCGCATCGCCCATCATCGCCCATCATCGCCCATCATCGCCCATCATCGCCCATCGCCGGGCCCGCTGCCCCCGCGCCCGGCTCCGCGGGGCCACTGCCCGGCGGGTCCCCAGGGAGCGGCGGATCCTCAGGGAGCGGCGGATTCGGGGAGCGGCGGATTCGGGGAGCGGCGGATCCCGGGCATCAGCGGATCCCCGGGAGCGGCGGATCGCAGGGAGCAGCGGATCCAGGGAGAGGTGCATCCCTGGCAGCGGCGGCGGATCCCGGGGAGCGGTGCATCCCGGGGAGCGGTGCATCCCGGGGAGCGGCGGATCCCGAGAAGCGGCGGATCCCGGAGCGGCGGATCCCGGGAGCGGCGGATCCCGGGCAGCAGCGGATCCCGGAAGCGGCGGATCCCCGGCAGCAGCGGCTCCCGGGAGCGGCGGGCGCGGGGCTCGGCGCTGCCCGCCCGCCGGGGATGCGCTGAGCGGCCGGCCCGGCTCGGAGCCGCCCCGTGCATGCTGTGGGGATACACTGTCGCGATAATAAATGATAGAGGATACCATGACTTTGCTGTCTCTGCTGGGTCGGATCATGCGTTACTTCTTGCTCAGACCGGAGACCCTGTTCCTGCTGTGCATCAGCCTGGCCCTGTGGAGTTATTTCTTCCACACGGATGAGGTGAAAACCATTGTTAAGTCCAGCAGGGACGCGGTGAAGATGGTGAAGGGCAAGGTGGCCGAGATCATGCAGAATGACAGGCTCGGGGGGCTGGACGTGCTGGACGCTGAGTTCTCCAAGACCTGGGAGTTCAAGAGCCACAACGTGGCTGTCTACTCCATCCAAGGCCGGAGGGACCACATGGAGGACAGGTTCGAAGTGATCACCGACCTGGTGAACAAGACTCACCCCTCCATCTTCGGGATATTTGATGGGCACGGAGGAGAGGCAAGTGCTCAGATGGATTAAAAAAAAAACAAACAAAAAACAGCAACAAAAAAAAAGGGCGTGCGGGAGGGAGGACGGTTCAGGGCAAGGAAGGGGTGTGTTATCTTGAGATGATCTTGAGATGTCTTGAGACACTGAGGGGAGGGGGCTCCCTTGCTTTTTGGAGGAGGGGGTGTCTCTAAATAAGGACCATGAAATACTCCATTGCCTTTCTCTCTCATTGCCCCTTCCACGGTCAGCACGGTATAAATGTGTTTATCCCCCCTTTGCCCTTTGCAGTAGTAAAGGTTTAATTGGAGTGAAAGCCGTTGGAGGTGGCTCTGACGTGCGTGGAATAACGATGATGAGCACGAACTCCCCGGAGTCATCTTTTGTTACAGCCAAGTGTGGTGTGATGTGATTTTGGCACCGGCCTGGTTTCTCCCCCTGACAGAGCTGGGCTCATCACAGAGGTTACAGAGCGCTGCTCCTGAAGGCAGGCTGTGTGTGCAAAATGTGCCTTCCCAGTAATTCCCTCTCCAGCGAGGAGCTGAGTCGCCGAGACTGAGCATCGCGTTTGTGAATTGTGTGTAGTTTTTTTATGTCATTACAACTGTGCTGTTTGCACTTGTCCCTTCCCTAGTGGAAAGCCAGGAAAACTGTCATTTTGAAACTTCGTGGTGTTTAACCTCTTAACTTTTTCAGGCAGGGCGACTTCCTTGGTGTCGCGCTGTGCAATTAATCGGTGTTCCAGCTCGATGGGGTGATTCATTTATGACAGATGAGAGACGTTGAAACTGCAGCTTCCTCTGCGTTTAGGATGTGGTGCTGCCACATAGCTTTTTGTATGGCACAAAGCACACGTTTCGTAACTGTGGGAAAGGACAAAGAATTTGTCCTTGAGTGACAAATTAGCTCTAGCAAGCGTTATGATGGCGTGAGATAACCTCACGGGTTTTGGGCTGATGATGGAAGTTTTTCGGCTGAATGCCCTGCCAAAGAGGGTTCAGGCAGCGAGAGAGCTTGGGTGTTCCCCCAGCTGCTCTCCCAGCTCAAGGAGTCAAAGTCCTCCCTAGAAAAGCCCTGGCAGTGACCAGGCATTAATGGAGCAGAGGGATGGCAGCAGCTGCCCCGCTAAACCTGGAAGTGCCGCCTGGAAAATCCAGGCCGTAGGCACGGGGTCGAAAAGGCTCTGAAGGGACTCGGGACTGTCCTGCCGCTCCTACTGTGTCAAGCGTTTTGCCCCCTTTAAATTAACGCGAGCGCCGTGGATACCGAAAATTGTCAGCTTCGTGAAAACGCTGGTGGTGACTGACCCCTGCTCTCCTTCCTCTGCCTGGTTTCGGCCGGGGCACGCCTGTGCCAGCTCTTCCTGGCATTCCCGGGCCACTCCTGCTGTCCCTGGGCCTTCGAGGAATCCAGGGGCCGGTATTTATCCATCCCGAAGCGGCTCCCGCAGGAGGGAGATTAGCCCCGAGCTGGGGACAGCTGGCTCCTTTGTGCTGATGCTCTGCCTTCTGCCTCCTTCCCCTTTGTGCGAGCTGCCTTGGAGCTCAGCAGCCAAAACAACTTCGTGGGAATTGTGTGTGTGTGTGCGTGGCGTTTTTAAACAGGACCAACCCTGGGGGTGTTGCAGCTGGAAGGGAGAGACACCCGCTTGGACTGGGTGGTGTGAAAGGGGCATCTGATGCCTCTCGTGAATTTTGTGTGCCCTGCGTGTCTCTTGCCCAACACCTGATTGCAAACTCGGGGCTTTAAATAATCCCCAAACTAGCACAGGGAATAACTAAATAACAATGTGCTTGTCTTGTTGTGGATCTGGGAATTATGGGCTGTGTTAATGACAACGTGTGGAAAGCTCGCTTGCCTTTTGTGTTCTGCTCCCTCAGAACTTGTTCCGATTGATTCAGTGGCAAAGTATGAGGCTTTCATAGAGGAGGGGTTTAGGAGTAAAAGGTTCTACAGATCTCTCTTCAAATCTCCCTAAATTTAGTATTTTATCAATGTGTCCATCTAGCATCTCATTCATCCTTCTAATGGAAGCCTAAGTGTTTTTAATGGCCTTTGCTCCCATAAAAATAAGTTAAACTCGAACTAGTTTCTAGCTTTAAATTTTAGGTAGAACTGATCAGAAGAGCAAAAGATGTGTGCTGTGCATGCAGCAAAAGGAAAAAAAAAAAAGAAGACAGGGTTTAGCCTAAGCAGGTTTTGTGGTTTTGAGTAGAAAACAGGAAGGAGACGAAATAACAAAAATTATTGCTCTTATTTAATCCCTAGTACATAACACTGAATTTCAGGTCTCTGTTTGAATTGGGGGTTTGTATGTCTTAGTTTATCTTTATTTTCTTCAAAAGATAAAAGACTCTGTGAAAAAGACTTTATCTACATGTGTAGCAAAGCCCTTGTGAAGATTAAATTTTCCATGCGGGCTGCCATTAAATTTCTTTATGTGTATTTAAAGAAGAAAGAACTGCTAATCCCTGGAGTTAACGTGTGAAACAAACTGTGCTATGCAGGAAAAAAAAGATTGTTTTTCCAAACAGACAATGCCACAAATGAGATGCTGGATTAATTCTTTCCAGCTCTATGCAAGGGAGTGAGTCTCCATTAATTACTTCCTGCCATATCCCATTGAAGGGGAAGGATGGGGAAGCGTGATGCAAGCAACATGAATTACTGTGCAGTGCTGATTTAGGAAGATTTCTGAGTTCTGCTTCAACATCCCCAGCATTCTGCATAAATCCTGCTTTTCCCTTCTGCCTTTTCCTCTCCCATCTTACAGTTTTGGCCTGGGTCGGTTGGCAGCCATTTACTTGAACTTTGGGGGTGGCTTGAGGAGAAAGCAGTAAGCAAAAATAATTATTAATGCTCTGTGTTGCTGCTTAGAATCCGGTCTTGCTGCTGCAGTTACTTGGTAAAGGCAGGGATATTTCAGGGATAAAAGTCGATACATGGGTGTGTAGTGCAGTGTTTTCTAAAACATTAGTTTGTTTTTTCAAGATAACAACAACAAAAACAAAACCACTACAAATACAACAATAACAATAATAATAATTATTGTTATTGTTGTTATTGTTATTATTATTATTATTCTGTAGACCAGGTGGAGGTCGAAGAAGTAGAAAAGTTCCCGCCCGTTATTTCACTGAATGACTTTGGCCAAAGCTTTCAAGGTGATCTAACTTTAAAAAAAAAGAAGAGAACAAAGTATTTGTCTGTTCTCTCATCAGCTTCTTTATAAGGCTCTAAGGTGGCTTGAGTGCTTTCACTCCCCATTTCCATTTTTCCTTTATTTAGAAATTTTAGGGCTGCCCAGGCTGGAAGATGGAGCAGCGTCAAAACTCCATAAATGACCAAATAACCATGAGCTTGAAAGCTGAGCAAAGGGTGCTTAATCAGAGTGATTTAACTATTTTAACTAGCATTGACTCTCAAATATTTAAGGTTTAAGCACTCAGTTTAATGAGATCTCAGTATTAGACAAAAACAAAGTAGCTCAGCTACCATCTGCAGTTTTATGGTTATGGCTCTGCTGCATATCATTGTTTGTTCCTAACCCGGTGGGGTGAAGGCTTTAAAAATAATTATGGTAATAGATGGTACCTCCTATTCTGCCTGTGCTTGTTTGGAGTCATAAATGGGTGTGGGTAAGGATGGGGGGAAATTAAAGCTCAGTAACTGTCTCATAAAATATACCTCCCTTTTTTATTTCCCTCCAACCTCCTTAACAGGAACGTGGCAAGGCTTGTCCTTTATGATCTGTAGGTGTAGGTAAGAGCTTTTTTTGCATGATCTAATTGGGTTTTAGAGCTGCTGAGATGACGCTGTGGGGTGTGAAATACACCTTTTAATTTTCATTCCCAGGGCAGGGGAAGGTTGTGGAGCTGAGATGTGGAGGGAGAGAACTGGCTGCAAGTGGCTGATGCTCTGTGCGCCTCACAGGACCTTGAAAGCAGCAGCACCAAGTGTTGCTGGCAGAAGTCTCTGGTTACTGATTAACTTACAAAGACCACTAAAAAAAAAGGGAAAGGTCAGAAAATAATGGTGAGAGTCCTTAGGAGGCCTTGTCTGAGACTATGGAAACGGGAATGCTGAGGTAAGGCCTGGAGAGCAGGGCGCCGTGCCAGCTGTGTTTAAATAAACCTGCTCTGCATTAAAATCCAGGTGCTTGGGGTTGTTTTTCCCTTATTTCTTAGTTTCTCCTTATAGCAGAAGGAATTTATGCTGTGTTGAAAGAAGAGAAAGCTGACAATTTGGCAATTTGTGTGGTTTTTTTCCCCCCTAAATCTCTAATTCAAAACCATTTCCTTTGCTACCAAACTACGTAAGCTATCTCAGAGATGAAAATTTATCTATCAAGCTTTTGAGTAAAGGCCATTAAGGATTAACAGCTTGGGATTTTATGAAAGGTAAGAATAAATCAAACAACAGCTTTTGAGTTTCTCTGGGTGTTAGAGCCTTGTTGGAAGGTGAGGTCTTTGAGGCTTTGCAGCTTTTAAGAAGAATCTGCCGGGATGGTTCTCCTTTTATAGTAATTTCCTTTGGTTTCTAATGCAAAGTGCCCAAGTGTTTGAATAAATATTTACATAGGTGAGGTCATGTTGATAGGCAAGACTCAAATCTGCTTATAAATTCCACTCCAGTGGCCTAAAACATAAGCCAACGTGATATATAGGAACATTTCCGTCATTTTGTTTGGTTTATGCAAGTTTAGATTCCTGGGTATCACGTTCCAGGATTATGATTTTCGCCCCACAAAACCATGCTGATTGATTTAGGGCTAAGCTGTATGCTCATTTGCTGCACAAAACTGTGACTTAAAATTGATTAAAATGGTGTCAAACTCAGTAATTGGAAGCAGGGAGTTTTAATTGCTGCCATTCAGGGCTGTATCGCTGGGTGTGGGATCGAGTGGTTTTCAATCCTGATAAAAATCAAAAAGTCAGTTAATTCTGAGCGTGTTTCGCCAGCTTTGCTGGAATTGGTGCTGCCGTGTCTGGGCTCACACGGATTGCCACCGG